CCCTTTTGGGGCGCGCTGGCTGGTGCGACGCCCCAGCCCTTTTCCCCGAAAATTCGACTCTTCTCCTTTTTTTTTTCCAACTCTAAACCACCTTAACCTCAAAGGTTCCAGCCCCAAAAACACTTAGGAATCATAAAGACCCTTAATATACAATAGATTCAACTCGGAAACATAACCGGAAACATGTCCCAAAATCAACAAGAACTTCAAACACAATCACAAGACTTCAACAACCACAACAACAAGGCTTCAACAAACACAACCAAATCTTTTCTCAGAAATTAAAACGAGTTTGGCATGTGGGGGAAAGAACCAACTCAACACTATGATCTCACATACCTTACTAGGGATCACCCCCGACGAAAACCACAACGATCTTTACGGAGTTTGCTTCTTCTTCTCCTTTCTCCTCTTCTCTCCTTTTCTATCAAAGAACCCTAAATCTCAACTTTAAAAGGAAAACTGATTTAAAATCAGTCTAAAACCTTAATATATAATCCAAAAGAAAAGGCTAGGGAAAAGACCAAAATACCCTTACAAAATCGGGTTAACTGCCCTGCCAACAGCCCAACTTCCAAAGAGCATAACTCACTCATACGAACTCGGAATTGAGAAAACTTGGTGGCGTTGGAAATATCATTCCACAAGATTCGCAAATATAACTGGAAATACACCTAACTCATCCTGAGCTAGAAGTTATGACTGTTCAAAGTTGGCCAAAAACTCACTTTTTCCCATACTTTACCAAATTTTCCAAATTTTTAATTCTTTCCAAAAATGACTATTTCCAATTCTAAGCCTCTTCATAGTTATTTCAAAATGCCGGATGTTACAAAGTGTAGGGCAACTCATGGATAATGAATATTCACTTCTTTTTGATGATGGAGCATGTGTTATTGAAGATAAAAAAAATCAGGCCAAACAATGGTTAATGTTCTCATGGCTGAAAACAAAATGTTTCCGCTAGAAGTTTCAAATGTGGAAAACTTTGCTTTGGTAACTGGTGCAAAAAATGACTCTGAATTGTGGCATTTGAGGTATGCACATCTTATTTCAATATGCGAAGGTTGCATTTATGGGAAGCAAAGTAGAAAATAGGCTTGGAGAGCATCTACTTGCCTAGAATTAATTCATGCAAATTTGCGTGATCCAATGAGTACTGAATCTTTTGGTGGAAGTCGATATTTTTACTCATCAGTCATCATATATGATTTCAGTCGCATGAGTTGGGTGTATTTTCTAAAATACAAATCAGAAGCTTTTGAGAATTTTAGAAAATACAAGGCACTAATGGAGAATCAAAGTGGGTTGCGCATAAAAAATCTCCAAACGGACAGAGATGGTGAGTTCTTATCTAATGAATTTGTCCATTTTTGTGAAGAATCTGAAACTCACAGGGAACTTACTGCACCCTACACACCGGAGCAAAATGGTGGAGCTGAACGTAAGAATCGTATCGTTGTAGAGATGGAAAGAAGTTTGCTGAAAGGTAAAGGACTTCCAAATCAATATTAGGCAGAAGCAGTTGCAGCCTCAGTGTACCTACTAAATCTATCGCCTACAAAGATAAGGCTATGATGAATCAAATGTCATATGAAGCTTGGAAAGGTACAAGTCCTTCGGTAAGCCACTTAAGAATTTTTGGTCGTATTACTTATGCTTTGGTAAACTCTCAAACTCGTCAAAAACTAGATGAAAAATCACAAAAATGTATTTTCATTGGTTATTGTCTTGAATCCAAAGCATACAGGTTATATAACCCTCTTAATGGCAAAGTGATAATTAGCAGAAATATTGTATTTGATGAAAAGTCAAGTTGGAATTGGAGTGAAAAAGAAATACAACAGAGGATTTCAATACTCATTGAACTTTGGTAAACTCTCAAACTCGTCAAAAACTAGATGAAAAATCACAAAAATGTATTTTTATTGGTTATTATCTTGAATCCAAAGCATATAGGTTATATAACCCTCTTAATGGCAAAGTGATAATTAGCATAAATGTTGTATTTGATGAAAATTCAAGTTGGAATTGGAGTGAAAAAGAAATACAACAGAGGATTTCAATACCCATTGAAGACTCTCCAGATGAAGGACAAGGGTCTGATCCAAATTCACTTGAAGAAGCGATTGAACCAGAGACATTCGCAACACTTGAAGAACCTCTATCTAAGCCAATTCCACTGAGAAGATCAACAAGAGACAGAA